AGGGGCTCACACTTGCTCTGCATACCCTGTTCCTTTACTTACCTTTTACAAATGTAAAACCTTGCTACCTTTTGCACTTGTCTTGACCAATTCTTTGTTTAGGAAAAAAAGAACCTAGAAACTTATGTTTCTGGGACAACCCAGAACACATATATCAATTCCTTACCATTAATGTAATCACTATATACTGCACTTTTCTTTCCTTTTTTTTTTTTTGGTGCCGGAGACTGAACTCAGGACCTTGTGCTTGCGAGGCAGGCACAGTGCCACAGAGCTAAATCCTCAGCCCAATCACTACGTACTGTAAACATGTACTAGAAACAAAAATAAAAAACTGCTCCAGACTTAACAAATTTGCTTCAAGGGTTAAGAATGTGGTTTCAGTGGTAGAACACCTGCTTACCACGTGTAAGGCCCTTGTTTAGAACCCTAGCACCACTTAAAAAACAAAACAAAAAACAAAAAAACTCATCACCAGGTATGGTGGTACATGCCTGTAATCCTAGCACTTAGGAAGGAGGCTGAGGCAGGAGGATTACTGCAAGTCTGAGGCCAGCCTGGGTTACAGAGTTCAAGGCCAGCCTGAACTACATAGTGAGACCCTATCTCAAAAAGCAAACAAAATAACAAACAAAATAAAAATATAAAAATTCAATTTAGATTTTAAATATCAAAACATGCAATTTGCACCAAGTGTGGTAGTACAGTCGTATAATCCTAGCATTGGGGAGAGCAGGCAGGATGAACTCGAGTTCCAGACCAGCATGGGCTATGTAGTAAGACCCTTTCTCCAAAAAAACAGTAACATAAAACTTATACAGCCGGTCAAGATTTAGCTCAATGGTTCTGCTGCCTGCTTCGCAATCGTAAGGTCCTGAGTTTGACCCCAGTACCAAAAACAAACAATTTATACAGCCAATAATCTGAGAATCTGAGGTATCCAGAGTACATTTTAGTCTTTCTAACAATTGCTTGGAATCACTGAGATTCTATCAAGTCCACTGAGAGAATTCCATAGCCAGCTCTTGTCCTTTATGAGGCTACAATTTAGGAGTTTTTCTTGACTGTGCACTCTATATAATGAATAGAACAACAACAACAACAAAAAGTTTTCACAAAATCTTTCTAAATTATTTCAGTTTTGTGCTCTTCTCCCCAAATTACTTAATGTGTAGTAAGAATAGGTTGCAGTTTTGCCCCCATCCCCATCCTTTTCTCTAGAAAGAAAAGTGCCTTCATTTGTAAGGAAAATGAGCTGCAACTCTTTCAGAGATCTCAATAAATCTCTTATCTTCACAGTTACATTACATGAGTGATGAAAGTCATCACACAAGGTCCTATCGTTTCAAGGGGAAAAGTACTGTGAATAGTAAGTTTAAAACTGCACAAGAATAAGTAACATTTTCAAATCTTAAGCATTGGGCTGGGGGTTTAGCTCAGCGGTTTGGTGGCCTGCCTTGCAAGCGCAAGGACCCAAGTTCAATCCCTGGTACCAAAACAAAACAAAACAAAAAATCTTAAGCATAGCTGGGAAAACATCTTTCTTCTTTCTATTTTGTGATACTGGGGATTGACTGAATCCAAGGCCTTATAGGCAAGTGTTTCTGCCACTAAACAGCTTCAGCCCTTCTGAAATTTTATTTTGAGACAGGGTCTGCCTAAACTGTCCAGGTTGGCTGGGTGTGGTGACACATACCTGTATTCTCAGCACTTCGGAGGCTGAGGCAGGAGAATCACTAAAGTTTCAGGCTAGCCTGGGCTATATACTGAGTTCAAGGCCAGTGTGAACTACACAGTGAGAGACCTGTCTCAAAAAAACAAAAATAAGTAATAAAATAAAATAAATAAATAAATTGCCTAGGCTGGCTTCCCCCCCTCCCCCCGAAACAGGATCTCACAATGCAGTTGAGACTGACCTGGAACTCACTTATGTAGCCCAGGCTGGTCTAGAACTCACATCGATCCTCCTGCCTCAGCCTCCTGAGTGCTGGGATTATAGGCATGCACCACCATGTCCAGCTGCCTAGGCTGGCCTCTATTTAACCTGTGAGCCCTCCTGCTTCAGCTTCCAAAGAAGCTGGGATTACAGGTATGAGCCATGATAGCCAGTTTTTTTAAAAAAAAAGTCTTTTATTTCCAAATCTGCATTACATAAAAGTAGTAGTTTCTTTTTGACCTCCTGGCTTCATTAGGTAGGTAATGGCACTATGCCAGCTGTGCATAGAGAGCAGTCCAACGTGCCTTTGTCGGGGGCTGTATTGGGGATTGAACCCAGGGTTGCATTACCACCAAACTTACATTCTCAGCCCTTTCTAGTTTTTGAGACAGAATCTCACTACATTACATAGGCTGACTTTGAATGTGTGATCCTCCTATCTCGGTCTCTTGAGTACCTAGGATTAGAGGTATGTGCCACCACATGTCGTAATGAGATACTTAATATCGATCCCAAGTATCCCCAACACAAGTATGACAGATCCAATACAGCTATGAACATATATATTCATGCAGTACAATTTTTTTGCAAGGGGGGGTGTTGGTTTTTTGAGACAGGGTCTCACTATGTATTGAGACTGACCTGGAACTCACTATGTAGCTCAGGCTGGCCTCGAACTCACAGTGATCCTCCTGACTCAGCTCCTGAGTGCTGGGATTACAGGGGTGCGCACCACACCTGGCTTTTTTTTTGAGACAGAGTTTCTCAATATACTTCATGCTGGCCTTGAACTCACCACATAGCCCAGGCTGGCCTTGAACTTGCAGACTCCTGAGTGCTGGGATTACTGGTATGCACCACAATGCCTGGCAATGCATTAAAATTCTGCACACACATTCCTAAATATCCCTAATTCTCTAGGACTTTAGAACACCCTGAGGGATCCAATTTAGTACAGAGTTCCTACCATCATGGTCTGCTGTTGGTAAAAGTCAGCTGTAGTGCTGCAAAAGAAGACTGGACTAAAAAAAAATCTGACTCCAGTCTCAGCTCTGCTGCTTATTGTGTGACCTTTGCAAAGTTTAACTCTGTAAATGTCACTGTCAACCTCAGAGGCAGAAGAATGGTAAAGAGGGGATTAGATAACAAATAAGAGAATGACAGGCAAAGGTGTTGCTCTAGTTTACATATATGCCTTCTGTTTATGCACAAATGACTTGCGACATTCCCTTCATGCCTCTGAAAATCATCTTTCACTGTACCTTTTGTTCCAGTCACAGAATTATAATTATGCTCTACTGGATATATCTCTGTTTCTGCACTGAGTTGGTCTTTGATCCTCATTTACTGAAAACATATACTCCACCTTCCAAGACTCAGCTCAAATGTCACTGACTCACGGAAGCTTTATTGAATCCTTCCTATGAAGGATTTGTCACATATCTCTCTGCTCATCTTCAAGCATGCATCTTTTATACCTAGGTTATAGTGACTCAGAATTGCTGCATTGTTTAAACTGTTAAGTCAGGCACTGATCTGACTGTAAAGTCCCAGGAGCCACAGTGCCACATGTTATTTATCTCCCTTGCCCCTTGTGTTTAGGAATTAGAGTTTAATGTCAGGTTCACAGCTAAGTAAAACAGTGAACTCAGCCTTTCCAGATCTATAGAAGAGGAGATGACTGATCTACAATTATTTTCCTATAGTAGATGAATTCTGCATCTGAGAATTAAAATTCTATATCCATGTTTCAGAATTTTTAGAATTTTCTCATTGGGCAATAGTTTCACGTAGTTTTCACTGAATACCTACTCAAGACAAAATTTCAGTATTATGTAAGTGACAAAGCCAAGAATTCTAAAATTGTTAGCAGGAAATTTTATCTTTGGGAATTTTCAGTTTTTGAAATAATGAATATTCCTGCATTCTCCAATTTATTTGTCTCTTAAAGTCAGAAATTTGTTTAACAGTTTGCTACATTATATAAAAAGCTTTTTATCTTTGCCTCAACAGCTGTAGCAGCAGCGACAAACTAGTCCATTATAATTTCCTGGCTCTGCAAGCTGGCCTGGCCACAAGGGAGCAGGTTCTTTACTTGTGTGAGTCTCCTTGAGAAAAAAAATTTCTATCTTAATACATTCCTAGTATGCCCAGTATCTAGCTCCATGCCTTGCAAAAGGACAGCATTCAGCAATATTCACTGAATTAATGCCCATAAATTTCCTTCTCTGTAAGTTCAAAACTTGAACTGTAAGTTCAAAAGATGCCCTATTGATTAGTAGATATTACTGATAAAACAGACTTTTATTTTATCTTTTTGGTCCCAGGGATCAAACTCAGGATGCTTGTGCTTGCGAGGCAGGCAATGGCACCACTGAGCTAAATCCCCAGCCCAAATAGACTTTTAAGCATAGATTTTCACATCCATGCTCAGTTATACATGACCATATCTTTCTAACAACATTTTATTTTTTTATATAAAAATTTTTATTTAGGAACAGGTCCTATGACAGACTAGAACTCCCTCTTGCCCCAGGCATACCACACTCCCTGCAACCACAGTATCCTCACAGGCTAAGTACTCATCTATTCCTCAAACTCTCTCCTTCTTTCCCTAGTTTTACTCTCTTTATTATTTATTAATTAATTTTACTCTCTTTTTCTCTTTGCTTTCCATCTTTCTACCTTTCACAAAAGGTGTTTTTGGGTTTGCTTGTTTGTTTAAGATGGAGTCATGTTATGTTGTCCAAGTTATCTCAAACTCTTAAACTCAAGGGATCCTTCTAGCTCAGCCTCCAAGTCTGGGGTTGCAGGCACATGCTACCTTGGCCAGTAATAACAATTTATTTAAAACGCCAACCACATGCCAGTCAGCAATGCATGGCAGCTTTTACATGACTTTTGTGAAGAAAAGTCCTAAATTTTCACTGTTTCAAGAATACAAAGATGAGGGCTGGGGAAATAACTCAGTGGGTAGAGCAGTAGAGCATTTGCCTAGCACATACAAGGCCCTAGGTTCAATCCCCAGTGCCACCACAAAAAACAAAAACACAGATGAACTTACCATCATCTAAAGTGATGTCCTGTAGACCAATGGTTGCAAAGTTAGGTTCTTGATCTTCAGGTTCAGGTTTGATGCTTACAGTTGCCCTATCAGGTCGAAATGACGCTGGATCACACAAACTGTGACATATTAAGGATGAAGGCGCAGAAATAACTCCCTGGTCTGTATTTTGTGCTTGAGTTGAGTGCTGTCCAGAATGCATTCTGGTGGCTGGAGATGGTGATGAAGCAGTTCCTGAGCTAGGAGATTGGTAAGGCATAGACTGTAACTGAGGAGATGGTGGCCCAGAAAGTGATGAACCGGCCAGGGGATGAGAGGCTGCTGGGGCAGTTGCTGCAGCAGACCGTGAATGTGAAGGATCATATGCAGTAAGTTGCAACTGAGGGGAAAGCTGACCCCTGACCTGGTTGGCCACTGTAGAAGAAAGAGATTTTTGTCCTGGGTTTGTACAATGGTATCCCATCAAATGCAGATTAGGTGAGGTCTGCACAGAATGAGGTGTACGTGCTAAGAGATGTCCTGCTGAGCCTGAATTTGAAGAATGAAATGGTATGGATGACAGTGGTTGACAACCAAGATTTACTAAACTAGGAAGAGTTGTATCCTGCTGAAATAAAACTGGATCAAATTCTTGTCTAGAGGCAGCATTAACAGGAAGACAAGTTGGTCCATTATATACAACATTACTTTGCATAGGCTGATAGGAAGATCCCACAGGAGAGGTTGGTGTAACTCGAAAAGGCTGGTGCACTACTGAAGAAGTTGTCAGATGTTGCTCTTTACCAGCACCCTCGTCCCTACATTGCAACTGTGGTAAATGGGATGAGGTTACCATAGATGCATATGATTGCTGGACAGGACAAATCAAGCCTCTCTGTGTTGACAGTACACTGTCATGTGGGTGCCCTGGATCCGAAGAAGGCCTCTGGGTCTGGGCAGAATGAGGCACAGGTAAAGGTGGAACTGAAGACAGATCAATTTCTTCTCTATGTTCTTGCTTCATCAAAACTGAAAATAAAATGATTAAAACAAATGTTAAACAATGCATAAAATGATAGGTCTTTGCCATAGGCTACACAGCTGGGGCATATATTCAAGCCTGGGGTGGCAAACTTAGATGATTTCAGGGAAGGCAAGTCATGTAAAATAGTGTGTGTACACTGGTCATGATGGTGTCTCACACCTGTAATCCCAGTACAGTAAGTCCTTGATTTATGAACATTTGAGTTGCACACTTTCACAGATATGAACAGACCTCATACAAATTGCAGAAGTAGCTCACGTCTACTGGACACTGTCACAGTTGTGTTGGGTGCTTACTGTACAGTGCAAGCATATACAGCAGTACTGCGCTCAATCAGAGGCTGAAATGTCCAGAAGCAAAAGGAAAAGCAGTGGTGATGTGGAAGGCAAAAAAAAAAAAAAAAAAAAAAAAAAAACACAAACA